TCGAAAAAATATCGAACCGTGACACCAAAGTATCGAACCGAACCGAACCGTGAATTTTGTGTATCGTTGCACCCCTAATATATATACATATATATATCGTTATATCTTAAGGTTAGCGTGGCTCTCTTGGATGGAAACAACTACCAGCATCTGAAGCTAATGATTTTATACTGCTTCATAAATCCATACACACCATGCTAGTGTAAAAACAATGAAAATAAATAAATAACATACATTTTAAAAAAACAACAAAAAAACAAAAAGAAAAAAACTCTGGCACATACTGTATACAACAATAGAAACAAATGCCAGTTTTACATGTGGCTTTTGTTCTAAATAAACCTTTAAGTGGATCTATTATTATAAAGCTCCACTTAAAATTTTTGACTCAGTATGAACTCGACGAGACCGGTGAGGACAGAAGCCCCGCCCACCTTCCGCACAAACCCTCTGTTTGCAAGTGGCAGCCAAACGTGAAAGCTGGCTCTAACTGTGATGAGCCAAAACCACTTTTTCCAGAGTAGACTGAGCTTTCTAATGACTTAGATGAGGTAAATTGTAGGATTATTTAAATAAAATTAAATAAAAATAATTTAAGAGCATTTTAAGCTTCAGCAATAGCTGAAAATGAGAAAACTATACTAATACTCAAAGTAATATGTGAAAAAAAAAAAAAAAGAAAGAATTAAACAGCTTAGCACAAAATAACTAAAATACACAAATGTCACACAAGTCTGGCATTTGCAAGATGACTCAACTCCACAAAGTATCTTACCAATACTGTCCAACACTGCATTCTTCACTTCAGTATTGTCCTCCTTGTACACAGATGCAATCTTGAGGAAGGCTTCAGCTGTTTTTGTAGCGTCTGAAACATCCACCTGGGCCCAGAAGAAGAAATGTTTACACACTAAAGAACTGCTGGATCTTTGCATAGGATTACAAGTGTGTTTTAATGTCACTGGAGATTTCTTTGCTACCTGCTGCTCAATAAGCAATGCTCTCGTGGGGCCCAGTTTAAGCAGTTTGTCAGGGGAGGGAAAGCTGAGGAAGGAGGAGACTTCTGGGGGTCGAGGTGTTGACTGTGGGGTGGAAAACTGTAAGAACAAGGCAAAAGGAAAAAGTCAAAACACAAATGTGTGCATATGATCACAGCTAGTGTGGATTTTAGACTTCCTGTCACCTATTCAGTACAGAATGAGGCTTCTGTTAGACATAATAGCGACGTCCCTCAATACTTTAACATGTTAGTCATCATTTGGATTCAATAAGGCCCATATCTTACATATATCCCACTTAGAACTAGTGTATATTTTTTTCCTTATAGAGATTTAATGGTTAGAACTTAAAAAATTATAATTACAGACACATTTGATGCCATTTTACTCATTTAACTTGAGCCAACTTGTGTTAAAACTATTGCAATGAACAGACATGTCTTACCTTATTGCCAGTGCTTTCTTCTTCCTCCTCTTCTTCCTCTTCTTCCTCTACTTCCTCCTCGTCCACATCGTCCTCGTCATCATCTTCTTCCTCATCGTCGTCTTCGTCCTCCTCGTCATCATCATCTTCTGGCTCGCCCTCATCATCACTGAAGAAGTTTTTTTTTTTTAAAGCACAGCTCTGTAGTGAGGACTTTGCAAAAAGACTTCATGACCTAAAGCTGCGTCCACAGTAGATGCGATTTGCGCGTTTCACATCACTTGATAAACTGATATTTGACATCTGACATGTGATGGTATTTACTACAGTGTCATTCAATGGTATCCTGAGTTGGCAGCCGTTTGAATCACTCACCTGGGATTTGAGAAAAGTTTATCTCGGGTACTGTCCACTTCATGCTGGTTAGTATTTGAGTAGAGTATTTAAGAGAAGCCTGGCAGGAGGATCTCAGTATAAAGATTATAGACAGCAGATGTCAGACGGCTCAAGAGCATCTATGGACCTCGTCAGCATGTGCCAGACAAAGGCCTATTACAATTCAAGGTTCTACACAGGCTACATTTATCAAAACGCAAACTGGCTTCCTTCCTAAAACGATTCATCCTGCGATCGAAGCGAACAAATACCGGCTTCTCTAGCTCAAAAATCCTGAACCTGTCCACACATCCGAGGATTTTGCACTAAAACATTTCAGGCCTTGCCAGAAGTTTTGCTAAAGCAAATTGCTCGGGGCCCAAACCAGACATTATTTTGGGTGAAAGCAGCAACCCTAGAATTGTCAAATAATCAATACATGTTAATCGGATTTGCACTGTTATTGGCACGAAAACTTATTCTGTTGAACTGGAAGCAAACGAAGCCACCGAGGTGGGACTTATTCCATGTCATTGGGCAACTCTTTAACTACTTTAACAAATCCAAGGCATGAAAGATGTATCTATAATATTTTGTCTTTGAGATACTTTTTTAAGTTGCTGTAAGTTCATATGAAGAACCTCAAAAAGAGAGTTGTGGGGGGGGAGGCTCTGAATGTCACTTTCTGCTATGAATCACAACCACTGTGGATGCAGCTCAAGCAAACAGGAGTCAGACTAAGCTGTGATTTACCTGAGTGATCCAAGTAGCTCGCTCATGTTCATGGCTTCCATGGCGACTTTCAAGGCTCTGCAACCATCCTCTCCGATGCAGTTACCTGAAAACCAGAGATCCTTTTACACAAGCCATGAAGCCAAATGCAGCTAAAACAACATTCCTCCATAATGTCTCAAATACAAACAAACAACAGAAGCATCATGACCGACACCGACTGCATTCTTTGTACCATTTAGGTCCAGTTTCTCCAGTTGGTCCTTGTCTTTTACTGCCTGTGCTACGACCAGAGCAGCATCCTCAGTAATCTCACCGTACGACAAATTGAGCTCCTGTGGAACATAAAAACTATTTATTCAGAAAGGTGTCCCACGTACATACATATGCTTTTATTTTAACTTCTGTAACGTCACTGTAGACTTCCACTATGTAAAACAAAAGGCGTTGGATAGGAGCAGCTGTAAAGTAAAGTTTTCCTTCACACGCGAGCTCCTAGATAGGTTTCTACTGCAGGTCTATTCTTTGTTGCAAATGTGAGAGAAAAGCTTTCATGGTGACAACTGAGCGTGAATTAAACGATAAGCGTCGAAGCAAACTTTTACATTAAAGATTTTTTTATAATCAAGTTAATCGATGAATCGTTACAACTCTAATACCATCATTAACCCTGTGCCCTGTTGTCAGGATGATAGGGGAAAAAAAAATTAAATATTGTCCAAGCCTACTGCCAACAACAACTTGCAACAAAGAGCTGGCAGTAGAGGGTTGCCCTCACTTACCTTGAGGATCGGCAGCCCTTCTGACAAGCTCACTGCAATCGCTTTGGCTCCTTCCGGTCGTACTAAACAGTCTCCAAAGTTTATCACCTGGATGCTCCGCAAGTGTTTCAAGGCCTGTGAAGACACAGACAGTATCTGCTGTATCAGGCTGAAAATAACCAGTACAAATGATGGTGATGCATATTTTCACTATATTCAAATCATTCTGTCCTATTTTGCAGGCACTGTACAAATGTATCTTCTGAAGGCATAACTTTAAAGAGTTATATAAACAATACAGATCTTTCCTCTGTGCCTTTTAAACCAATCACTCTTTTGTGCAGGTGTCAGTGAAGCAGATTTCCATGCCTTTTTCAAGACTATCCAAGATTCGTTTTCCACGCCTGGGAAATGAACGTTTTCATATACTTTTCAGGTATTTCATGAGTGCACAAACTCTGTTTAAAAAAAAAAAACAACTCACTGTCTAGATATGCAACTACTAATCCCTTACATATGTATACCTGAGCCATGGCCATAGCCCCCTTCTCAGTGAACGTGTTGTCATTCAGATTGAGGATTCGAAGTCCTGGATTGTGTTGCATGGCTTCGGCCAGGGCGGTCACACCTGCGTGGTTGATGCCATTCTGGGGCATGTGAACCTCCTCCATGCTGCCCATAAGCTGGAAAGACAAACTTTAATCGTACACTTTCGCTGCTTACACATAAAGGATAAAACTGTAAAGATCTACTTTGAATGTGTCTGACAGCATAAACTGGCTGATAATTATTTATACGAAGTGGTCCAAGAATAAAACGTGTCAATCATTAAGAGACGTATGAGAAACAGTCGTTCTGATGAATCAAAATGAAGCCTGTCGATGAAAATCAGTCTTACCTTAAAAGCCTGAGCGAGGGCAGTGGCTCCGTCATTCTCCAGTCGGTTTCTTCCAGCAACAAACACCTTCAGGCTGAGGGGCGATCCCGCAGCGCTGGATCTTTTATGGTTGTAGATCAATGATGCAGCTAAAATCTGAGGAGTACAAAACAAGTACAGTCATAATGATCTAGGATGCATCTGTCCACTTGTCTGGTTTTTATCTTTGATGCTTTATTCTTGACAATGACGACCTTATCCAAGAACACGTGTCATCTCCACACTTACCTTGCCACCTCCGATGCCCATGCCACAGTTGTTGAGCCGTAGCTCCTGCAGTGTGTAGCAGGTGGAACTCTTTAGCAGATTCTCAATGCCCTTTACTCCATCGGGTCCAAAAGCATTGTCGCTGAGGTCTAAAACTGTGAGCCTGGCACCCGCCAGCATCAGAGCATCACCCAGTGAATTCTACAAAACAAAAATAGGAAAATAGGAAGTGAATCAAAACTAACCGCTTGGGAGTCAAAATTGATGTGTTATTGATAATCATGTAGTACCAGGGAAGGTGGGATCTCAGAGCGCAGGCGACCTGTAAACATGTCACTCCAGTAACAACGCTGAGGAGGAAGGAAGCAAGGAGACAAGAGCAGTGTCAGTGGAAGCCACAAGATGATTGACTGACTGATTGTATTCCATTACAGGGCAGTTAATCATATAAATTATTATTAGATTCACCCATGCCTGTTGCAGGTATCAGTGTGACAGAGAGCAGAAGGCTGTTTTCAGCCATATTTAAACATTGTGTCGGACTAAGTTATCAGTTCATCTGCATATGAAACTTCTTATTTTAAGTGTGCACCCAACCTATCGCCCTAAGGCAGCTGCAGGATGCCAACCCCCCTTCACCCAAGCCATGAATTGGATAAACGTTTGGATTTCTCATTCCAGATTTTCATACTTCAAACATTTGCTATGATAAAGCACCTTTCATCATATGCCTTTGGAATATTAATATTAATTGTATTTTTATTAGTTCATATTTATTGTTGAGAAATATAAAACTGCTGAAATGTTAGAGATGATGAACAGAGAAAAACGTCTCACCATCAATGCACTCTTTGTCTCCAGGGCCTTAGCGATGGCCTGTGCTGCCTCCACACCTACAGTGTTTCCCTCCAATCTCAGAGCTTGTAAACCCTCAAAGTCCTGGATCTCCTTCACCATCTCCTCAACTGCAGAGATTCAAATAATCATATTAAAACAGGTAACACATAAGAAAAATCATTAAAGCCAAGCCTTTAGATTATTTTAGTGATTAAGTGACACTCACCTGACTGAGCATCATCCAGCTTTCTTCCCTGTCCTTTGTAACTGAGCTCTCCATCCTCCACTCCAGTTTTGGCCAGAGAGTCAGCCAACTGCGCAACGTCGTCTGTCGCCATCCTGGCACCTGAGGACCAAATGCACCACTTTTTTAACTTCATGATAAACTCCGCTGTCTGACTCCTCTGCCCAATACCAGATGCTAACAGAACCAAAACAAAAGCACCCAAAAGAAGTCATTCAAACTCTAAATTATTCAGCTGCGTGTGAACAATCTGGTTTAAAGAGCGCGGTTTTTTCTGGAAAACCTACCCTTACTGCGACACAAAAACAGCTGAAAGCGCTTGTTCCACTGAGGGAATAATGCACCTCAAACACTGATTTTAAGTCTGGAAAACCACCGGAGCTCCCATGTCTACACTGTGTAACCAGTAATCTCTACAGTCTCCTACATAACGTCTGCACTCTGTGTGCTCGTCTAATACCCGGAGACAGCCGACAGCTTTGACGTAACGGTCACTGAGACAGAGTTGTTTTGGGGTGGATTTCCTCTTACAAGCAACCGGCGCCTAGCATGGGCTAACGTTGCTATCGTTATGCTAATATACCTGCATGAACTGTAACAGGCTCGTGTCCGTGGAGCCTTTACGATCGTTTCTGGAATTTATAATCCATTTTTATGCCATAATTATATATTTTCTTATGCGAATATGAACAGAAAAGATTCACGTGCTAGCAAAGGTCCATTCAACGTGGTTACAGCTCGGTCAGTCATCTGTTAGCAAACCTTTCAAATTGGCCAGCGCCGAGGTTAGCCCCAGCCCTCGGGTTGAATTAGTTATTTTACACACCCTAAATCGCGTTTTAGCGAAACATGAGTCTACTCTTCATATAAATGAATGCTGTCATTACCACAACACTGCTGTGCCGCTTGAATACAGTCCGGCGGGTCGCTCCCTCGCTATTGCGCCTCTTGTTCTTCTTCTTCGTGAGTTTTATCAGCGAAAATGGTGCATTACCGCCACCAACTGGTAAGGAAGGACCTTAACAAAAATATTAGTCTGTCTTCAAAAATTAAAAAGCAGCCTCATAACCTTTATATCTTGAAGTTTGTTTGTTTTTTAATTTGTTTATTTATTTTCTTTGCCTTTAATGAATAGCTTTTGTTCTTATACTGAAGTTTTAGATTACTTGTCTAAAACAAGCCAGCATCAGAACTTCAGCCAAACTACAAAAATAAAATACGAAGGGCAGCCAGGAAGTGAATCAGAAACAAAAGCAACAAATCCTGAGATGTTAATAACCCATTAACCTTCGAAAATATTCTGCCATGCCAATTTGTTATGTTTTATTTCTCATGGAAAATACAAACTAGTTGCAACATTACAGAGATCCTCTTTTATTCTTGTTCTTCTTTTGGCTGTTCCCTTTAGAGTTCACCATCTGCTTCACATCAACTCTCTGCATGTCCTCTTTCACTGCATCGATGTATCTTCTCTGCAGTCTTCTTATTATCCTCTTAACTGGCAGCTCCATCTTTAACATCCTTTATTCCATATATTCAATATCGCTTCTTCCCTTGTTATCAGTGCCACCGTCTCCAAACTAAACATCATAGCAGGTCTCACTACCATCTGAATGGTGATTTTGCATATCTTTATGATCACCAGAAACTTTAAACTCGGACACTCAGAGTTATGAACACTTATGCCTGCATGTGATTGTGTGTGTCCTCAGTCATGAGGTCAAACTGCACGTTTTCTCCTCTGAGGGCTGCCTTTGTAATTTCAGACACTTGTAGGTGCCATACAGCAGTGTGATGGTGGGCCTCTTTCTGATATATTCCAGATGTGTATGGGGGTGAAGACGAGTCAACAAATGGCATAGCGGGTAGGTCTTTGGCATATTTATGCAGGCTTTGTCAAACTGCTTTTATTCTTGTGGATGTCAGAGCTGTTAGGATCTAGCTCGTTAAGTTAAATATGTCTGTGATGCTCTAAAGGGCGGCAGTTTTATTTCAATAGAGATCAGAGGTCATCTCCTTCTATTTGTCACACTTACAGGATATGATCATGTGATTCATCATCTCTTGACTGTGCTGATCTGCTCTGCTAAACGCAAAATTTCCTTCTGTGTGCTGTGACTGTGTAACGGACTCAGGAAATATTATGGTACCCATAGTTGTGTGATTTTAGTTCAATTTTTGTCTTAGTGCTTAAAAGGTTTAAAATACCTTACAAATATAAGATTAACCGTTAGTTAATCATCAGTTTATCACAGTATTATATAGGTATCCTTGTTGTCCTTGCTGTTTTTAGTCTGAAGCATGCCTTCTCACCAACACTACAGCACTTTACCAGCTTCTGATTGGCTGATTCAATCATTTCTTCCCCTCCAAAATGGTGCTGTTTCATCTATCTAACATTTTTTTCATCACCACCTCATGCATCCATGTAATTTGACCGCATAACAGAAATTAAACCATTTATAACGATTTTGTAAAGTGAAATGTAGTACATTCAGATTAAACTAAGAACCATTTTTTATGCTCAAACTTGATCATCTCCTTTACAAACAGGTTTGACAGGTTTCCAGTGCAGCAGGCAAAGTGGGGCGCAACAACCTTGCTTTTGGTTGTTAAAATATTATCATATTACCAAAATAAAACCCCTCTGAATTTTATTTTGTATAGTTATGCCTGTAAAGAAATTATGTATCATGGTTTGTATTTTTTATTGTATACAAGTACCATGTGAGTTAGAGTAAATCAAACAATATCAGCTTTATTTATACATCAGCTTAATGCCAGTTCATATCATTATTTCTAAATATTATTGAAGTGTTTCATACACTAAATTAAAAAATGTAGGGGGAAATACAGCAAAGATTGCGATGTGAGTAAAAAAAGGAAAGGAGGGGTCTAGTAAACTGGGAATAAATGTGAATGTTTTGCATAATACAGTAATTCAGTTTATTTAAGATAGCTTTTTAAAAGACGTGACAGTGTTTATACATTTGTATCTGTTCTCTAATTTCTAAAAATGTCAAATTTGAATTGATAACTCCATCATTTTAAGTCCAGTTTACATATACTGTGCCACACCTCAGGCTTTTCTTCCTATTTCCCTCCCTTAAGAATGGCTTCTTGACAGCCTTTTCACACTGAAACCATTTCTGATGACGCTTCAGTGAACAGTAAATGAATCAGCTGAAGGTTCAGGTATCAGGTCTTTGCTAGATTTCGCCTAATTTTTAAGCACGTAACCTTCAGAATGAAATATCTATTATTTATCTATCTTCATTTAAACCTGCTGCTTCTTCTTTTGTGCTCCACTTCTCCTGTCTTATCAGATGTTTTAAGGACACACTGGACATCATGCTGAGATAATCACCTTGGTAATGGATAAATACAATTTTATATAGAATAGAATAGAATAGAATAGAAT